GACACCAAGCTGTGCAGTAGAATAACGTCCTTACAGGATGTCTCCAATTTACAAGCTGACCTCAATGCACTGTTTCATTGGACAACTATGTGGCAAATGAAGTTTAATGTTGATAAATGTAAGTTGATGCACTTGGAGGCTAAGAATATGCATGCATCATACATACTAGGGGGAGTACAACTGGGGGAATCAATGATGGAGAAGGATCTGGGAGTTCTGGTAGATCACAAGCTTAATAATGGCATGCAATGCCAAGCTGCGTTTTCTAAAGCGAGCAAAATCCTCTCTTGTATTAAATGTGGTATAGACTCCAGGAAGAGTGATGCCATTTTACCCCTGTACAGTAAAACCTCATCTGGAATATGCAGTTCAGTTTTGAGCACCAATTCACAAAAAGAACATTGGGGAACTGGAGAAAGTACAGAGAAGGGCAACCAAACTGATAAGAGGTATGGAGAAGCTCAGCTATGAGGCAAGATTAGAGGAACTGAATGTATTCTCTCTTGAGAAAAGGAGATTAAGGGGGGATATGATCAACATGTATAAATACATCAGTGGTTCATATAGTGACCTCGGTGTAGAGCTATTCACCCTGAGGTCATCACAGAGGACAAGAGGGCACTCTTTATGTCTGGAGGAAAAGAAATGTAATCTCCAGACAAGGTTTCTTCACAGTAAGAGCTGTGAAAATGTGGAATAGACTCCCTCAAGAGTTGGTTCTGGCCAGCTCAGTGGATTGCTTTAAATAAGGCCTGGATTCTTTCTTGTATACACAGAATATAACCTGATACTAACATTTATAGGTAATGTTGATCCAGGGAATACCTGATTGCCTCTCAGGGGATCAGGAAGGATTTTTTTCCCCATGCAGGAGCAAATTGGATCATTCTTTGCTGGGTTTTTTTTGCCTTTTTGCCTTCTTCTAGAATGGAACTGGATGGACTTTTGTCTTTTTTCAGCCAGACTAACAATGTAACTATGTAATGAAATTTCTGATTATACATTTCTGTTCCATGGGTTTTTGATGGAGAACAATCCATTTTAAATGATGTATGCATTTCCTTTTTTTCTAGAAACTCTTGTTATTTTTTAATGTCTATTTATTCTTTTTTTTATTCACTTCAACATGTGTCTTTTTCTCTCAGTGAGGTAATAACTATTTATTTCATATACTAATTCAATTACATACTGTATGTAAAAGACTTAAAGTGGAACTAAACCAATCAGTTTAACAGTTTCAAAAAACAGGGCCAATTCACACAATGTGCAGACGTTTTACCACAGTGTATGATGTCTGTCACCGCAGGGACACAAAGGTAACAATTGTTTCCTATGTGTCCCATTCACACTGCAATGCAGCCTAGTACTGTGCTGCAGTTTGCTGTGTTAACATGTGCACCAGCCTGAATCCCACTGCAATGTTGGACATTGCAGTGAAAGAAGAGTACGTATTGGAAATTTCAAATAAAGCTCATACAAAACAAACAAAAAAGGAGCTTAATTGCGCACCACACTGCCTCCTAGTGCAGCCGGCAATGCAGAGCATCCTAGTAGTGATTTGATGGCTGCAAAGTGTGAATTTGACATTAAATTCACAGCAAGCTGGAAATGCTGTCACATTTGCTTTTGCTCTCAACCATACCGTCAAGCCATCAATTGGCTGGTGTGATGACTGATCACAATGTCAGCACCGTGCCAGTTACAGATCAAACAGAAGCTAAGCTGGCAGCTTTAAAGTATCTGACTAAGAATATCTACTACTATTCACTTTTATACTTATCTTATTCTAATATATTTTTATATACTATATCAATTGAACCTCTTTTCAATACTTGTAGCTCTGATGAAGGGGTGCTTAAATCCCTGAAATGCGTTGGATATTTTCGAGATTCTTTGATGAAAAAACTTTATCAGGACTAGCATAAAACCACTTTCTTCATTTTGGATTTGAACTGAAAAATAGATAGAGGTTCTATCCATTCTTCATACTATCCATACTGTGTTTTGGCTGGAGTTCTAATTTAACAACAGTATATACGCAGGTTTACAATGTAGCCCTTCCAGGTGCAGTTCTTTATATATGTATAAGGTAGTGATCAAAGAATATTCTACTTTAACATTAGTATATACGCAGGTTTACAATGTAGCCCTTCCAGGTGCTGTTCTTTATATATGTATAAGGTAGTGATCAAAGAATATTCTTGTCACAAATTTGTGTTGGCCAATTTTGGATGGATCTTGGCATACTCTTGGTAAACAGTTTTGATGCAGGTAGAGCAATTGCCTGAACCTTTAAAGACAAATTCTAAAAGTTTTTTCTTGCCGTAAGAAGTTTACCTTGCTTGTTGGAAGAAATGTGCAGAAGAAATGGCGTGCAATGATTTGTAAATTTGAAATAACAGCAGGGTGATTATCAGATAGAAAAGCATGAATTACAGTCTGTGGTATTTTGTCTTGGCAGGAGAAAATGTGAGATGCTCTTTGCAACACACTCTTTTCTGGTAACTTGATTGCTTTGCAGTGCCCGATTATAAAGGTAGAAGTTATCGGTCTAACATCTATTGGAATGAATGGAGCAGAATATGCTGTACATTCAGTTAAGCCCTGAACTCTCCCAACTCCATGCGCTGCTAAAGAGAAACAAAAATCCAATTTGCCTGTCACTTGCTTGCCTCCTTGATTAGATAATAGACACACTGAGGTTCTATGTACGTAGTATATCACATCAAGAATACAATGTTAGGGGCCATTACTACTGTAATAAACAGTGGTCAGCACATTAAAATATGGTAATAAGACAGCATAACTAGTGCATACAAATGCTGTGCATTCAAAAACAATGAGCCTAGGGAATGAATAGAACAGCCTGAAACCATTGTATTCTCATCACATCAAAACTGTGCAGAAGAAAAAAAAGCAAGCAGAGAGGATTTTTTTTTATTACCCAAGGCTATTTTTTATTTTACTTTATTTCAGTGTTCTCTTCTGGTCACACAAGTTCTCTTACAAGGAAATAACATTTTATCGTGTGTGCAATACTCACTAGATCTGTTATCTATATCTGATTAACACTGCTACTCATTACCTGCAGTGGGGTCATCTATCACCGTGTGTACTCCATCTTTCCAGGTTTAAAAAAAAAAGAACAATTCTGGTCTTTAAATTTGATATATTTAATATATTTACTTTAGAGATATATATATATATATATATATTATATATATATATATATATATATATATTTTTTTTTTTTTGCTTTTGTTAAAACTTTAGTGAAAACTACTGACAGTCCCTGTAGCACATTCTATACAGTAAAGTTTGGTTTGTTTGTGTTGTGCTCTTTCCTTGATAGCCTTTGAAGAAATCTGTTAGGCCCTTTATAAAGACTGGCCAAAGAATTAAAGGCCTTGAATTTATTTTTGTTGGCCACCATCCTTTTTCTTGACCAGTAGCGCCTTCATGATTATGTATTATTATATTAGAACACAGAATACTCTGCAGACAGCAATAGGAACAGGTGAACTCCACTAAAGCCTTACTATATACTTTCTGATATTTCTCTTTTGTTAATTAAATATATTTTAACACATTTTAAGGGCCTCTTCCCATAAGCATTTGGAAATCTACTTGAAAAAAATGTGTGTCATAGGCACAAGATAAATCTAGAGCTGTACCATAACACATAAGGTAATGTTTACCTAAGGTGACATTTTTATGGCCATTACCTGGGACACAGGTCTATACTGTGAATACCTCTAGACCAGCTATAAGGCAAACACTTAACTAACACTGAAGGGAGCCATTATTTTCTTTTCTTCTTATGCAAACTTTAGGAGCATAATTTCATTTTCTCATCTGCTCCCCAATTCGACACTGACTGCTATGGCTGAATAAGAATAAGCATTTATCAAATGCTAAATGCATGATTCACTTTCCACTTAAACGTACGTTCATTCATCTTTATCCCCCTGCCTTCTCTTTTCATGAGGAATATCAGGTTGTTCGGAAAACGGACTAGTGTTACATGAAGAACACCATCTGCAGCTTTTTTTAAGATGGCACCTTAGGCCACCAAAGTGTACTCCCTGCCTTTGACAGTGGCATATTAGGTATAACCCCCACCCCCCAATAACTAAGCAGACTTGCCAATGTTTTCAAGCTCAAAGCCAATAATGTCTATTTGCTAAAAAACAAACAGCACAATTTTCTTTTTCTGAAGTTTTTTTTCTTAGATATAGCCATAGAAACATTTATAGACACACTTATGAATATTTTGGACAGATAGGAGGGAAGGGAAAGGACTGTGTCATTAAATAACTATGTGGATACAGATATAAAATAAACAGGCTGCCTGCAGGAATCTCATTTTATTTTTAACAAGTCCTATTGTATGCTTACAACCTTCCTTTGGTAGCACGGCAGCTGAGCCCTGCTATATAGAGATTATATGCCTGAGTTTATTTTTCAGGAATTGTAGATTGTCTTCTGAGCAGTATTGGCCCAAAGACCAATAACATCTGAATAGGCCAAAAGAACCAGTTGGAGATATTACTCACACAGTGTCTTTTGCATGTGTAGGAGGCCTGACTTGTCATGTTTGTGGGGTTTTTTTTTTTTTTTAACAATTTTGATCCCACTTAAAAGATCAGAAAATGTATATATAAAAAAATAAAAGGAAGGATTAGTAAGAATGCCCCATTTTGCATGTCCAGTTGGTAACTAGAATGAATCATGATTTTTCTGCAATTTCTTGAAAGATGTTGCCCTTTGTACGTGCAAGCTGGGGCTATATGTGATATAGGCTTGTGATTATGCTTCCCCCCAACTCTTGTTGCATCCGATTCACATTTATAATCCACCAACACAAGCCAACAGATCACCAGAAGCCACTTTCACTGATCCTCCATGTCAAATCCTCCATACACAAATAAAGAATAACAGAAAGAAATGCTGGTCCTTTAGAAAGTGGTGGCAGTGGCTAGAGTTCTTTCCACATCAGGTCAGCGTACAATGACAGCCAGAACCAGGAGAAAGAGCAGCAGAGATACCCTGACCCCATCACACCTGTTGCCTGGTGCCTGCACTCCACTGGGTATCCTGAGGGACGTCCTACGAGTACATTTAGTCTTCCTCTTTGTTGTAGCAGTGGGGATAGTGTCAAAATTTAATTTCAGCTGATAATCCGGCATGTAATCCTGTACGTCGTGGATGCTCTTCCCAGAGAGGGGCTTTGAGATCCGATTTCGGTTCTTGTGGTTTGTGCAGTTCTTCCCAAGTTTCCTGTTTCCTGGACGTGAATCTGGATAGGCAGCTGGCTCATTTTGGTGCAAATCTTTTCCCTTCTCTTTTGAAGAATGATGTGAATGGTGTCCTTTATGTGATATCTGGTGTGTCGTACTGAATGTCTTAATTTGGTGAAGAGACTCAGAGCCTGAACAGTGTATGTATTGCTCTGTTTTCAAAGTTTTGAGATCTCTACCTTGCAACATTGGAGGTGACTCACATTCCACACTTGAACTTGTCCCTCTAAATTTTTGTAACCACTCCCAAAGAGACCTAGCTTTGCAGCCACAGTCCCAGGGGTTATCATTCAATCTCAGAAACTCTAGAGCAGAAAGGTGAGCTAAACATTCCCCCTGAAGTTCAGAAATGCTGTTGTTAAACAGAAAAAGTGTGGTTAGCCTCTTAAGATCATGGAATGCATTTTTGTGAATAAATTGGAGTTGGTTCTGATGGAGCAGAAGGCGGTCTAGGTTGACCAGGCCCCTAAATGTATTTTGATGGAGGCTCCAAAGCTTGTTGCCATGCAAAAACAGATGACTTAGATTGACCAAATCGATAAAGATGTCATCCTGGAGGAACTCAATGTGGTTGTTCTGGAGATAGAGATACTGCAGACTATGGAGGCCATTAAATATTCCAGTAGGCAAAGAACTGAGGCCACATTTGTACAGGTTCAAGGTATGAAGTCTGGTCAAACCCTGAAAAGTCTCTGCTGCTAAAGCCCTCAAATAGCGATTGTCCCCTAGATCCAGCTCTTCAAGGTTGTCAAACCCTTCAAATGTATCTGGATCTATGAATGTAATGTTGTTGCTATAAAGCCACAGTGTGACTAAGGAAGGGCTGAAATGTCCACGAAGGAGCATGGTTATCTGATTGTTTTGTAGAAATATCCTCTCGCTTATTTCTGGAATGCCCTCCGGTACAACTCCAAAGTTGTGTGACTGACAGCTGACAGTCATTGGTGAAGGATAACACACACAGTTTATGGGGCATAGTGAAATGAAAGGCAACTGCAGTCCAAAAAGAACCAGAAATAGATCCACATGGCATCCTGCAAAATATAAAAAAAACACAAAACCATATTAATTTTATAGTATAATAAACTTCAATTCAAAAGATTAAATATATTTATTAATATTTTGTATTGTTTTTTTCATGTCCAGTTATTTGAGGGATCTGAATTTAAACATATAAACTATGTGAAAGAACTCATAAAACCAATCATTTTTGTGCATGTTGAATAACCTAACAGTTTACAAAATCAAATATTTGACATTAATGCGCCCATAATTTGAAGTCTATTGGGTTAGTTGCCTTGTTAGGCAAAAAGAGACATCATAATGACAGATGATAATTTTCTTCTATAGCATTATTTTATAGGCTCTAGCCATGATATTAAAAACTATTTTTGGCAGAACAAGTTTCTAAAAAATATTCTAAAGGTAAAACTATCAGTTAGGGTTTAGGTCTGTTGTAATGTTGAGTGTGTGTTACATCACCTTGTCCAATTGTTTGTGCAACGAAGAAATATGGTACAGCAGCTTCTAAATTCAAATATAAAGCCAGTAATGCCAATGTAGCCAGTTCAGCAGTCTGGAGATTTGAAGTGCCTGTTCTTCTCCCACTTTTTCTGTGCAGCACTTTTGCTATACAATGCTTTGTGATGGTGCTGACCAATCAGCATTCCTCTCATCAGTTCCAGAAGTGTTGCACAGAGAAGAGGGAGAAAAGCGGGGATTTCAAATCCCCACACATCTGGGTCAGATGAACACAGCTCAGCATTCCCAAATGTAAGTACAATGGGGACTGAAGAGGAGGGCAGAGTGTATGGTGTTGCATTTTTTGTGTAAGGATAGGTTTACAATGCTGTGATCCAATTTTGATTTGACTTTCAGTGAGATTATGTAGTGCAACTTGGAAGCAATGTGGATTCTACTTTGTAGTGTTCATATTCTATGGGGCCAAAATTGTGCTGGAATTGCACTAAAGTAGTATAGGAACCATGCTGAGTTACACTGCTATGAATAGGCACCATTGAAAACAATGTGATTTTCATCTTAATGAGAGTCTGTGAAATTCAAGTTGCATCTGACATCGCACTAGTCTGAAAGGATCCTATAGGTAAACTAACACATTAAAGCAAGTTGGTAAGACAATAGTCAGTCAACTAGCATTTTCAGATGGAGGCCCACAATGGAAGCTCCCATGTTTCTTTCATGGTAGGGTTACTTTAAAACAAGAAGAAATTGCAGTTCTGTGTATCTCTATGGCATTGCAGAAAAAATGACTAAGGATGTCTTAAATAATGAAGCTTTCATTAAAAATAGATTTTGTGTTTGAAAGATCGTGGACTCAGATTCTAAAAGGTCATGTTTTTCCAATCTTTATATTCCCACACATTATTTGGCTGTATTTAAAAAATGTGGATTTGCTATGCATACACAGTAGCTGAGTAAGTAAAAAACATAAGTAGTTACAAGTCACACATATTATGACAAGTTTTCAGCATTAAGTGATCAAGGTGAGAGTTAACATCCTTGATGCATGGGTATGTGTCCTAGTTTGTAATACATATTCATACTGGATTAACTCAGGTAATGCCTACTCAAACATTAAAACAGTTCCATTTTTAGTAAACACTAAAGCTTGGTTACAGGCAAACTATAATAATCCATTTTTGGATAAGTAAATGTATTGGGTTTGTTCACTTAGTGTAATAAATACGATGAAGCTTTGGTCATACTGAATACCCAATTTGTACAAGGGAATATAAAAAAAGGATAGAAAATTGCTTGGACGGGATTGGGTTTTTAAGTGAATGCAGCTTCACTAAGTTATGCTGAACTGCCAATATTCCTTTAGTAAATCAACCCCACTATATACTCTTCAGGGTTTCTTCAGAATTTGATCACTGGTAGGTCTTTCAAATTATTTTATTAAGAAATAAATATGAGAGTTGTCATTGCTGACTTGTTTAGAAAGGTGCAATTCCCAAGGTTGTCCGTCTTATCCTCTTCACCCTAGCTTGTGAACCACTTCTTTGGATCAAAACAAGCAAACAGTGATGTCTGAAAACTCTGAACTCCATTTCTTCATTCTACTTCTAGATAGCATCTTACTAGCTAGTGCAGCTAGGATGAGAGAGATGGGCTCTGAGCGTTATAAAAATAGGTACGCAATGGCAATTTTGTTGTCACAAAATAACTGTAAATTCTGCAGGGCATTGCTGATGTCACAAATTTGGAGTTTTCATAGGAGAGCATTGTGAAACCAACATAATCAGACCACACTGCAAGGCTTTGTTTTTTTATGTCTATATTATCTCTGCTATTTTATACTAAACTAAGAGTACACCAATAAATTAGAATGGCTAGGATGTCTGATTTCCTCATTGGCTCGTCTTCAACATACCTTTCTGGACAACTAGCCTGATAAATGTTAAATGGTTAAAAAGGGGTTGTAAGAAATATGAAAATTTTAACTTGGGTTTTTTGTGCAATGACATATAATGGCTTTTCATCCTATAACCTGCTTTATAAACATGCTAATAAACAACACTGAAACCCTATGTGCATATTCACCACCTTCATAGTACTAATGAAATGTTGTCATATGTATCCAGTGTTATTGAATAAACTAGGTGTGTTTCCTGGTTTGATCGATATTGTTGGATGTACCAATTTACAATCTAAGGTTATTCTCTGTTAATATGAAAACCCCCAGGATAGGTGGAAGAGATTTTGGTTTGGTTGTAATAGGGATTTGGTATGCTTACATGTTTTGCGTGGTTTTGTAAAATAAATGTTCATTGAGGAGACATGGCTGTGTCCTATTTATTATATTATTAATATTATTTAGTTATTATAAATAATTAATAAAAATGTATTATTTTGTATGATCTATATTTGTAAATAAAGCTGTAGCAGTCTGTTAAAAGTAGTGTTTGTTTGTGGTGGCTGGTTTTAATATGTCTATTAGAACTTGTAAAGGTACATGGGGGATGATATATGTGTGTGTGTATATATATATATATATATATATATATATATATATATTTGAGCGCTATATTTAGAAAGCTTCCTTCTGTGTACTTTTAGCTGGTTGCTCCTTTAATTTTGTACAAAATGTATTCCATTACCCAATAACTGGATATTATCAAATTGACAGCTCTGCAGAGTCTCCCTGTGATAACAGTAAAATTGGGGAAGATTTATTCTGAATTACACCTTTGTGTGGATGAGGATGTGCACTAAATTTAGTAAGATTCAGTGTCCCTTTAATTTTCTTTCCAGACTATTTTTACATTATTATTAGAAAACATATTTTAGATATGAAATAGAAAATATCAGCAGAGGGTAATGTGTGACTGTTATTCTGCTAAGCTCATTGATATTATTGCTATTTCATTACGTGCTATGGAAGAGCACTGACTGAAACGTGCCACAATTTAAACAAGGATTTATGCAGTGTAATTTCTGTTTCACATAGAGGAATATATTTTTATAATGAATTTCTAGCTGCTCCCATTTCTAACACAGGTGATGACATCAGTAGGGTTCCTGCATTAACGGCACTTGGGAATGGACGCAGAATCTATAATGAAGTGCTATCTCCATGGTGCATGCATAAGCAAGCCTTCCAAGCCAAATGAATGGTCAATTTATTCTTGTTTGTTTCCAATGCACAAGAGGTTTATACAGTATGTTTCCTATTTTCTGTCCATTCCTAGCCAGGCAGAAAGGATATGACTTCAGCCCACTTTGGTGACTACACAATGACAGCTGAGTTTGGATGACCTTTAAACTTTTTCTGGCATATTTTAAACCCATGTCTTCCTGACATTTTCTTAATCTGATGTGTTCTTGCTCATCTAGAATGCTTAGGTGAAAATGTTAACTTAAGAAAGATAAGAAAAAGTGCAGTCTAATTAAAAGCTGGTTGTTTTAAAATAGTTCTCAGAATCTTTGGCTGAAAAAACACACTTTTTTCCATTTTACTTGATGTGTTTTTCCATTGAAATATTTGAAAATGCATCAAATTGCATGCTGAAGAGCATTGCAATGCACTTTGCATTGCAAGTCAACACACAACATTGCATGTTTTTTTCTTGGTCAATAATTTTATTAAAAGGTGTCAAATGTACATATGACATAGCAGAGAAACATTTTTTACAAAAACATATAGATAGCATAACAACAATGCTCATAAAAGTCCAATAAAGGTTTAGCTCCAGTAAACATATATGCAAAATGGATGCACTTTGAACCACATTATATGTGAACCTTTCTATGGAGCTGGTTCACATGTGTGTGGACCGGCCGCAGTGTGATTTTAAAAAGAGTCAGGTACAATTTTCAGCCCATTTCAGGTGCGATTTCAAGTGTCATAAACTTTACAAATTTGCACCTGAAGCACACCTGAATCAATGCACTGGACTCCTTTTACAAATTACACTGAAACTGGCCCTGCACATATGTGAACCCGGTCTAAGTGATGGTACAGTATATTGGACAGTCAGCATTTCCAATCATAATAGAGGTAGATAAGAGAAAGAAGAGAGGCTGCGGTAGAGTAAAGTAAAGTGAAGACAAACACAATGTAAGAAATAGAAAAAAACAATGGGTGGGAAACCAGGGCAAATGGGAGAGCGAGAGAGAGAGAGAGAGAGAGAGAGAGAGAGAGAAGAGTCATGCCTGGGGAGGCTCACCACAGACAGGCTCAAACAAAGTGGCTTATAAAGTTTATCAGGGCTCCAGATGATGTTGATCAAAGTCTGGGGGTAGGAAATGTGAGACCATGGTGCCCAGACCTTCTGAAATGTATGTATTGTACCCAAAGTCTTGCTGTCAACTTTTCATTAATTATTACTGAGTGCAAACAATCCTTGGCCACAAATACACTTAATGTATCGGTGATCCAGGTCTTTGCCATCCTTTGCTTTTCCACTTTTAAGATGTGGATCATAAGTATGAATTGGCTTTGGAGACGTTAGCGGATTTTAGGTTAAGGGGTGTACAAGATGGGTCCAAAGGAATTATGAATTGAAAAATTG